CTTCAAGTGGTCTTATAAGGGTTATGCTGAGTTCAATATTGTATAACTGTATTAATTTAACTGTGAACCTCAAAATTTACAGCTAATTTTGAAAGAGAAGCATCTTTGCTCTGGAAATTGTTATTGAATATGTTAATGATGTAATGAAAAAAAAAATTAGTAGATGTGAAAAACATTACCATTGAAATCTACCTGATGACTTTATATCCATGCTCAGATGCCTAGAAGCTCAGAAAGTAACCAACTGTGACTAGTAATAATCAGATATTTAGAGATTAGAAATGCATGTGCAAACATCCAATGTCAATTGCATTGAAAAAGAATTTTCCTATATGAACTGTGTATTTTAATAATGAAATGGAGAACTTTTTTAAAGGTTAAAACATCATTTAATTTATGTCTTATAGGGTTTATACTGAGTACAATATTGTATAACTGTAATAATTAACTGTAAACCTAAAAATTTACAGCCAATTTTGAAAGAGATGCATCCTACCTCAGGAAACTGTTATTGAATATGTCAATTGTGTTGTAATGATATGCTTCTTCTAAGTATGTTGTTATTAAATAAATCATTTTTAAAAATTAAAAAAAAAAGAGCTATGTAGGGCTGGAGAGTTGGCTCAAAAAAAAAAAAAGATACGGCCCTTTGGTGTTTTTAATATAAATTGCTAAATTGCATTCCAGTTTGTTTATAGCCTTTAGACAAGAGACAGCTTACATGGTAATTTCTACCAACTGCTACTATTATTATTCTGTGTGTTATTTATTCTTAACAATTTTTTTAGATTATTACTTCTCCTTCATTATAAAAATGTCATTTTAACCATTAATACTTTCTAACTAATAAATAATATCATCATTCCTACAATATATCAAAATTTCAGGAGACAGCTCATTCTTTCATTGGGGGACATTTACTTTTGAAAATCTTCTAAAACTATTCCTTAACAGTTATAGCAACACAAAATACTCTGCATTTGTGCCTCTGCATGTGTGTGCACATATGTGTGTGATGTATACATGCATGCACACATGGGGAGGATGAACTCCCTTAAGCATCTGTGGATAGAGGCCAAAGGTCAATGATAAATACCTTCTTCTCACATTTCCCACTTTTTTCAAACAATTAAGTTGAATCATTCTTTTGTTGTTAGATTTGTTCTTTGACAATTTTGTACATCTAAATTTTTTTTACATTCTCCCCCCCAATACACACCCACATCTAAACTTTTAAGACAGTCTCTCACTGAACCTGGAGCTCAGTGTTTCAGTTAGACGGGCTTGGCCAGCAAGCCCACAGGATCTGTCTGTCTCTGTTGCCCAGAACCGGAGTTCCAGACATGTTCTGCTGCATCCAACTTTTATGTCCATTCTGGAGATCCAGCATCAGGTCCTCGTGTTTATGCAGCAGTCACTTTATACACTGAGCCTTCTCCCTAGCACAATGCTCTGCATTCTTCATTAAGGAGAGAAAATTAATGCTCACAAAATTCTTCATCTTTTAGTGAATTTTTAAATAATTTTTATATAAAATAGTATATCTAGAGGCTGGAAAGATAACTCTGTGGTCAAAATGTTTTGCTGCACAAAGGTGAAGACCAGAGTTAGGATCCCCAGAAATCCAAGTAAATCCTCAGTGGGCATAAGGGGCAGCCTGGGATTCCAGCCTCAAAAAGCAGACACAGGCTTTCCAGAGCAGGCTGGCTAGTGTGAGTAGCCATATGAATGAGCTCTGGGTTTGACTGAGAGACCTTCCCTCACTGAACAACATGGAAGAGCAATTATACATGATTTCTAGCAACAACCTTGGGCTTCCACATGCACAAGCACAAACACACACAAAAAAGAAAAAAAAGAAATAGTATATATCTTATTTATTAAGTTATTAGTTATTATTCCTCTTTAAAAGTACTATAATCATGGGCCGGGCATGGTGGCGCACACCTTTAATTCCAGCACTCGGGAGACAGAGGCAGGCGGATCGTTGTGAGTTCAAGGCCAGCCTGGTATACATAGTAAGTTCAGGTCAGCTGGGACTACAGGGAGACCCTGTCTCAAAAACAGACAAAAAAAAAGTACTATAATCATAAGCAGGGGCTAAAAGATTAGAGTTCTGTATAAATAAAACCATGTTAATGAATAGCCATTTAAAAATTGTGCAGACGTGCTTTTGCCATCCCAAACCCACAACAAAACTGTACTACATGGTATTTATTTACATACTTTCTTTTTTTTTCAAAGTTACTTAAGTGATTTTATTGGGCATTAAAAGAAAATATCACCTCTTGTTATTAGGGATTGCTTATTTCTGTCAGGACTGAAGTTATTTTGCAGCATTTCATATTCACTCAGTGTTGCATACGTTGCCTTATAGAGTATGTAATAATCTCACAGTAACAAATTTTATTTAAGAAGTTTCAACCTGGAAGTCAAAACTAAAGGCTTAAAATTGCTAAAGAGCAACTGGGGTGGTAGTATTTTGTGACAGAAGAGAGGACGGACCCTCCGTTTACACAAAGCCGAGCAAAGAAAACTTCAACTCAACAACTTCTCTCCCCATGGTTCTCCCTCCAAAAATCAGTGGGAGTGAAAAATGTCCAATGTTAAGAGACCTTGTGTATGATGGCCTGTTCTCGGGGTCCTCATAAAAGCTCTTTCACCAAATTATTATGCTCATCCTCAGCTTTGTATGCACGTGTTATTACATGCTGTCATTTACCAGGTCTAAGTGACTGGAACTTAATCATGACTTTTATGACCACAAGTTTTTCAGGTTTGTATACGGTTGCTGCACCAAAGAGCTCTGATAGGAAAGTTGGACATCAGAATTCAGCGCTCAACCTGCTGTGGCTCTTGGACCTACACTCAACCTCTGATTCAAAGTTGAGTCACATCAGTGAAATGAAGGGATTGTACTAGAAGATTTAGATGATGCCCTTGCTCAGCTCAGTGCTACAGCTTTGATTTGTCACTTAATCATGAGATAATCTACTGCCAATCTTCTTCTCTAAAATGGAAAGGTCCTTCAGAAATACAGTGAGATGGAATGCAATCATTTATAGGTAATTAAAAACAAGTCACAAATTATATTGCTTATCACCTACTTGGATTTTATGCATAATACAACATAATATAGCAGAATATAAATATAACAGTACAATATAATACACATTGTGTGTGTGTTTGTATCTTAGCCCAGTAACTCTAACCTAAAGAAAATACAAGAACAGTTCATCTGAAAGGATTCTGCAATTGCTTTTATCTTCCATGATCTTTGTGTCATAGAATAAAAGAGATTTTGTATACAACGGCTGACAAGCAAGAACTGCATAAAAACAATGTTCTGCTTTTCCTTGGGGATTCACAAACACAAAACATGGCATTACCTTTCCAGTGCTGATATCTGGCTGCAGAAAGCAGTCTGAATAATTAGCCCATGTTTTATTCGAGCTGTGAATAAAATCCCATGTTCCGTTGGGGGTACAGTGTCGGAAAGCAACCCCTGTAAAGACACAGATGGTGCTGAGATTGCTCTGTTCCCCTCAAGTCTGTTATCAAACACTAAAGAAAAAGGGGACTTTCTGCTTGTAATCAATCATTTCAGAAAAGTTCAGTACCTTTATGGTTGAAGTCATAAATGTAAGGAGGGCATGGGACAGCTGACATCTTCCCCACTGTTCCTCTAGGCCAACATATGAGTCCATCCCATTCTGGGAGGCAATTGCCTTCTGATAAGAAAGGGAAATAAAGAAAGATGAGAAAACAATGTTGGAAAAAATGCTTTCAAAACAGAAAATTGCAGGTCATTGCCTGCGGCAAAATATAAAGCAAACTGGTAAGTTTGGAAACTGAACTGGAGGCGATGGGATGCAAATGTCCCCAAAATTATCTGCTTGATCTCTCCAGGGACTCATTGACAGGATCTTTTGATTTTCTAAATTAAAGTATCTGAATTACTCCAACACATTAGGTATATCAGTTATAGAAATTAATAGAAGAGACATTGGGTGCCACCGTGAACAGCTGTGGCATACTTCTTCCATGGTAGTGGCTACATGAACACATAATATATTAAAAATGTGTAAAAAACATGATACACAAAACAGATTCAAAATTCAGATTTATATTTTTGCCAATAAATTCATTAATTTCTTCCAGTCTCACAATTACCTCTAACACATCTGTCATAATTCCCGCTCCTCTCAGGATGGGGTTACAATTTCATCATTGTGACAACCTTCATAGTGCAAGGCCCTCACACATCCAGCCAGAATTACTGTACTAGTCTCCAGCTGGCCATTCTTCCTGCATCTTATCTCTCCTCTCCTGATTTCCATTCTTTCCTCTTCCTCCTCTTCCTCCTCCTCCTCTTCCTCCTCCTCTTCCTCCTCCTCTTCCTCCTCCTCCTTTTCTACATGCCCCCTAATTCTTTCTCCTCCTCCTCCTCTTCCTCCTCCTCTTCCTCCTCCTCTTCCTCCTCCTCTTCCTCCTCCTCTTCCTCCTCTTTTTCCTCCTCCTCCTCTTCCTCCTCCTCCTCCTTTTCTTCCTCCTCCTCCTCTTGTTCCTCCTCCTCCTCTTCCTCCTCCTCTTCCTTCTCCTCCTCCTCCTCCTCTTCCTCCTCCTCCTCTTCATCCTCTTTCTCCTCCTCCTCCTCTTCTTTCTTGTTTCTCTCACTCCCCCTCCCACTCTCAAGCTTGTAGTTCTCAAAGTTATCTGTAGAATGTGTGGGAATGCAACATTTTGGCAGAAAGAGGGAAAATGACTAGAACAGACCAGACCTAAGTGTTCCAGTCCTTTCCAGACACAGGAAGTTCTGGCAACATATCCTGTGTCCCCTGAGGTGTACATACCAGGGTGGGCAGCTTTCCATAGTGACCTAGCTGTCAGGCAAGTGGGTGGATATGCAGTAGAGAGTCCATCTACCTAGGAACTTGTCAGAACCTCAGGCTCACATTGAATTCTTCTCTTGTCCCTTGCTGCCTATCTGTAAGTAATCTGTTGTGTACATGGGTGTTCTGTCTCACCTGATTCAATATATATATACTTGGTGATCAATGACACACACATAACATGACACTCACAAACTCCCCTCAAAATCTGTCCCCACATCACTCTGAGCCAAAGCCCAAGTCCTGGCAAGGTCTGAAGACCCTAAGGCTCCTCCCTACCCCAGCATATATCCCTTACCTTCGCTCCTGCTCACACTCAAACAGCCACAGTTCAACTTGCTCTTCCTGGACTTCAATGCTGTTCCCCGTGATGGCCTTCAGACTTAGTCTCTCACCTTCAGACTTACTCAAATGTCAACTTCTTAGCAAACATTCCCAATATAAAATTGTACCCCAATGCACCCGTCCCCTTTTTCATACTGTTATTTTCCCCAGGTTCTTATCATCTTCCAATGCTGTAATTTTTTTTATCATTTTCTTAAGTCACAGGATTGAAGAAGCCTGAGAGTGCAGATCTTTGTTTTGTCACATGTGTTAGACATGTTCCTAGAACAGCCCTGGCACTTGGTGGGGCTTCACAAGCCTTCACAGTCCCTGCTGTGCTCTTCAAGGCTCCTTTCCTTTGGTGATGTGCTGAGCTGCTAAGATGAAAGTCTGTCAGCCATGCCACATCCCAGCTTCCCAACAGACACTTGCCATGAGTGCTGCAAATAACACAAATTCATTTCCTCACTGTTTCTGGAGGTCAGAATTCTGACAGGCTTAAACCAAGGCTAGGCAGAGCTGTGTTCCCTTCTGGAGGCTCCTTGTTCCTCTCAGTTGTTGGCAAAATTCAGCTCCTCAGCTGAAGAACTGTGGCTTTCTTGCTGGCTGTTAGCAGTGGCCTTCCAGGGCTTCTGGTAGCTGTTTGCATGATTGGCTCCTGGCTTCCTTCCTCCATCTTCATAGTCAGCAAAACAGACTGGGTCCTTCTTACATTTTGAACCTCTCTCTTCTCTCCTTTTCTTAGAACACAAATAATTCTGGTTCCTTCCTCTTCCATTTTTAGGGGCACAGGTGATTATATTGGGCCAACCCAGGTATTCCTGAATAATGTCCATAAGCTTAATTCCATCTGCAGAGTCCCTTTGACCATTGCAGCACAGCACACACAAGCCCAACACACTGGGGTGGGTGTCTTTGGGGTCTCATTATTCTATTGTGCAAGCACTATCTGTTGTTACTCTCCAGCATTAGTCATCAGTTACACCAACTGTGATTGTGGATTTTTATTCTAGCTAAAGTTAATGGTGTCAAGTTTTTCACTTTGAAAAGTCAGCATAGCAGAACTTCATACAGGCACTGATCTCCCCAGAAAACAATTCAACATAAACCTGGAATTAACTTCTTAGTACCCCACCCCCGCTCCCCATCACATAGAAATAAATATTCTATTTGTTTTATGGATTACTGAAAGAATGAGAAAAGAACACATCTTCCCTCACCCACACTGTTCTTTCAGAAGAGAACATTTTCTTGGAAACAACCTCGCCTCATTCACATAGTCACATCCTGGCTTCACACATCACCAGCAACCCAGGAGTTCATCCCACTGGCTCTTGCTTCTGCTGGACCACTCCACCTGCCTCTTTCTATAATATCGGATTTTGCTGTTGATTTTGGTGGTGGTGGTATCATTTTCCTTTTTGCTTATAAGAATCAATCTCACTCATCAACTTTGCCTGAGTTTTTTTTTATACCTTGGGAGGAGTTCACATGACTTCCTACCTACTTACTTTGTTGTTAAAAAGGCACGTGTCTTTTCATATGGACTGTTAAAGTTTGGGTCTTAAATGTCCCCCAGAGGTTCATGGGTTAAAAGCTAAGCCACAGCTTACACTATTTGGAGCTAGTAGAAACTTTAAGTTGTGAGGCCCTTGGGGTGTCTTCTGGTCTTTGGGAACATACCCTGGAAGAGTATAGTGGGGACAGGGCATCTTTCTTGTTGTTCTGTGATGTGTATCTGCCATGTTATGCTGCCATGAGCCCCAAGGAACAGAGCCAATCAGTCATGGAATAAAACCAAAACTGTGAGCTAAAACAAACCTTTTCTCTGTATGTTATTTGTTACTACCACAGAAAGCTAACACTACTGATGAATCAATATGCACCTAATATGCACTGCACGATTGCAGTGGTTTGAATAAGAAGTGTCCCTCACTCATTCAGATGATAAGAACATTTTTCATTATTGCTCTGGCTCCCAGATTTCACATAGTTTTTGAGAAATTGTCGGCATTGTATATATTCTTGTTGCTGTTGATTTGAATAGGTGAGACAAAACTGCCAACAAGGCGTCAAGCACGTCAAGCATAAATCAATTACATAACTTGTTTTAAAGGCTGAAGTCAAAAAAAAAATGAAATGTCCCTCAAAGGCTAAAATATTTGAACACTTGGTATATGGCCCCTAGTTGGTGGCATTGTTTGGGGCAGTCATAAAATCCCTAGGAGGCAGGACTTTGCTGGAGGAAGCACATCAAAGGAGGTAGGCTTTGAGAGTTCATAGCCACATGCCACTTAGAGTTTTCTTTCTCTCTCTCTCTCTCCTCTCTCTCTCTCTCTCCTTCCTGAGAGTGACTGAAGATGTGAGCACTCAGCAGCACTCAGCTTTCTGTTCCAGCTGCCTCTATCACCATGCCTCCCCACAGTGATGGACTCTTATCCCTCAGGACGCTTAGGCCCAGATAAACTCTTTCTTCTATAAGTGGCCTGTGTCATGATGCTTTGTTACAGCAACAGAAAGGTAACCAATACAACAACCAAAATAAACTAGATCTGAAAGCGTGTCCTTGTTTTAAACAAAGACCTTGAGTTCCTCATCTTTTCTCATATGGCACATAAGGAAATAAGCAACTGTGACAGTCATCACTCACCAGCAAACTCTGTGTATAAAAGAATCAACAAATGCAGAATATGAGGTGTATGTCTAGGAAAATAAGAAGAGATTGAAAGAATATTAAAAGTACAAAAGACTATTAAAATTGGATATGAAGATTTGAAAATTTTTTAATAAACTCAAAAGTAACTAATGGCTGCATTAAAGAGTTATTATACAGAGCTGAATAAAGACCTGACAAATTGAAAACAGTTTAGAAAAAATTAACAAAACACAGAAAACAAAGAAAAAAGAACATAAATAAGACATGGACCCATGGAGGGTAGGATCAGAAGGTCTCACAGTTACCAACATGAATTTCCAGGAGATCATGGAAAGAATGGAGGGCAGCAAATTTCAAAGACAAATAATTACATGCTCCCATCCCTGAATATGCGTGTGTTGTTTTGTTTTATCAGTGTAGCAAAATAACTAACTACACCTGGCAACTAAAGGAGGAAGGGTTTGTTTGAGCTCATGGTTTTGGGGGCATCACAGTCTTTGGCTCTGTTGATTCTGGATCCATGGTGAGGCAGTCTATCATGGCTGAATGAGCAAGTAGCCAAGAAAATTCACTTCATGCCTCATAGGAAGCAGGGAGAGAGACAGAGGAGCAAGAGACAAGATACAGCCTTAAGGAAATGACCCCAATCACCTGCTTCCTCCAGCTAAGCCCATCTAAAGTTTCCAACATCTCTCAAAATAGCAGTTTGGACTAAGTTCAGGACCAAGACTTTTGGTTGGGGTGCAGGGGGAGGGTACACTTCATAACCAAACCATAGTAACACAGCACCATGAGTTCAGAAAATCTGATGATTCCATACCTGGATAAAGAGTGAAATTTAAAATAACAAAGTCTCAAAGTTGGCTGGGCATGGTGATGCACGCCTTTAGTCCCAGCACTCAGGAGACAGAAGCAGACAGATATCTACAAGTTCAAGACCAGCCTGGTCCACATAATGAGTTCCAGGCCAGCTGGGGCTACAGGGAGACCCTGTCTCAAAAAGACTAAAAAAAAGTAAATAAATAAAATAAAACATCAAAGTCAAGAGTTCTTAAAAGGGAAAAATATATCAACAAAGACTGAAAACTGATTCAGCAGCAATAGCAATAAAGTCTATAGGATAAATATGAAGTAAGAGCTTCAGTGCCAAGATAAATACTTTTCAGTCAAGGTTCTCATAATTAAAGAAGAAGAAAAATTAGCATAAAACTGAGGACAAACTAAAATCCTGTGTGACAATTGCTTATAATTTAGAATCAATTAAACTAACCTAAACTGCTTATGGTTAAGCTTTCTTAAATTAAATATACCTGCTTTAATTCTACTAAAAGATTAAAAAGATAATTTTAAATTATACTAAAAATGTATTTTAAAACTACTAATAGAACTAAGCATCCTGTCAACTAGCTATGGGGATTGGAGCAGGGCTGGATGAAATAAGCAAAGGTACTTGAATCAATCAAAAATAAGGGTGGAGTAGGGACTAGAAGGGACACAGAGAGAAAGCCCAAATAATATGGTAGGGTTAAATTCAAATACTGCACATAGCACTCACAATTAAGACAATTGGACTAAACTAATCATTCAATAGACAAAGATTATCAGAATAGATAATAAGTTAAGGCATGAACTGTCTATAAAAGATATTTCTAAAATAGAAGTATAAGGCAAGTTTAATAAAAGGATGGGAAAATAGAATGACTTGCTTAGTGAGTATTAATTATTGCAATTTTGTAAAATGAAAATTTCCTTGAGATTGGTTGCAGAATAATGTGAATATACTTAATACTTGAGCAGTACACTTAAACATGGTTAAAATGGTGATTAAAATGGTAAGTTTAAAGTTGTATGCATTTGATCACAATTAAAACATTTTTAAAGGATTGGAAAAGTTGTGCTAATCAAATAGTAGCCAAGCAAGAGAAAAGCTAGTGTTAAAAGGTTAAATATTCCTATTTAATGTGATCTTTATACATATGTACATATAATATATATTGGTCTATTGAGACAGGGTCTCCCAGTAGCCCCAGTTAGCTTGAAATTTATTATGTAGACTAGGCTGGTCTCAAAATTACAGAAATCTGACTGCCTCTGCCTCCAGAGTGCTAGGATTAAAAGAAGTGAACTTCTATTCCCAGGCAAAGTTTTTGGTTTGGTTTGGATTTAGGGGTGGGCATGAGTGCTGTGTGTTTCTATGCTTGTTTGCTTGTTTCTTTGATACAGGGTGTCCATGTATTCCCAGCTGACCTGGAACTTGCTACATGGACCAGGCTGACCTCAATCTCATAGAGTGCTACCTCTCAAGTGCTAGAGCTAAAGGCATGTGCCACCATGCTCAATTAAGTACATATAGATGCATATATATGTGTATGTATGTAGACACACTTTTGCTATATAGAGGGAGCAAAGGAATCTTTAGAGGTATAGAAATCTCCTTTATCTTTATATTGACAAAAGGTTTAATTCATTAGGTAATATATATCTAAATGGTGCATATCTAATAGCATAGTTTCAGAGTATAGGAAATAAATCCAGCTACCTTTCTAATGACAAATTCACCATCATAGTATTATAAAGACATGTATCTTAGGAAAGAACAGATAAAGTCATCATTCTGGTTACAGAGAATATGAGCAATAGAACTAATGAGCTTACCCTGGTGGATTCTGTAAGACACTGTGCTGGAAACTGGAGAGTTTTCATTCCTTTGAAGACCCTATGCAGTATCAAGACTGACTACAGTAGAGGTCATTAAGTCTCAGTGTAATTTTTTTAAGTCACCATCATGCAAACCACATTCTCTGATCATAATCAATGGAAAAATCAGTCATACTTTTTAAACACTTGCAGACCAGTATAAGAAGATATTAACCTGTATATTATGTAGGGCATAGCTTTAAGAGCATTACTTCATTCAGTTTGTTGGAGTTCGGGGAGTTCAATGAATTAACCCCCCATTTCCCAAGTGAGAGATGACTCAAAAATTCATCATTTTATTTTAAAATTTTTCTGTAGAACATGACTTAAGTATATATAAGTTGCTTGCTTATTTGCTGTTCTCAACTGAGATCACTACCTAAAATAGTATCCACAAGGACAAAGCCTACCCCCTACTTCACCGCCTAGTGAAGGGCAAACCAACATGTATGGTCCCAACAAACAGTCAGATCCCAAACAGAAGCCTGATACACACATGCCCAGTTGCTACCCCTAAACTCACTAACCAGGAAGTCATTTCTCCCATAAGAAAGGTAAAGGAAGTGTAGGGGAAAGCTTTATTATTCCGTTATACACCTTCCATTGGGACACATGGAATCACTGACACACATCTCCCTAACACTGAACAAGGAAGAATACTTGCCATTTTTGTGAAGGAAAACAGGATGAGGAACACAAGGAAAATATGGTTTTCTTAGCATCTTTACCTCCTTCTTGGAGCTGAGCTGTGATGTTGAGTTCACATTGCACTTTAGCCTTCATAACAAGGACAATCTGCTCCTCGATAGTAATGGTGCCATCAGAATCCAGCTGTAGAAGCAAACAAAATACCATCATTCCCCATCTTTTTAAAGATGGATAGAGCTCTCATGAGTTCATTATTTCATTTCTAATACAACTTAAAATGTGACTGTTATGGTTTGAATATACATTGCCTTCCACAGGCTTATGAAATGAATGATTGGTCCCCAGATGATGGCGCTATCTGAGAACATTCCAAAAACCTAGAAGATGGGTTGGAGCTGAAGGAATTAGGTCACTGGAGGTGGGTCATTAGGAGTGTATTATCCATGGCCAATTCCTATGTCATTTCCTGATCCCAGGTGGGTCATGATGTGAATACCTCTCCTCCACTGTACATACCTTCATTGCCCTACTGTTTTGCCAAATTGCATGGAGGTCAAGCAACCATAGATTGAATCATTTGAGACTATGACCCAAAACACAGCTTTCCTCCCTTAAGTTTATTCTGCCAGGTATTTGGTCACAAAGATAAAAAGGAGGTAATACATACATCAACATAAAATAATTTAGGATGATTTTACATTATCCAATTACCCTAAGGGGGGAAATGTAATACCAAAAAAAAGTAAGGAACTTTAAACTATGACTAGATAATTACATTGAAATAATATAACTAGAAAAATTCCCAGGCTTTTATGAAGTCCTAATACATGATCAATTCTCTCACAATATATCAGTTACAGTACACAGAAATAGAAGGCTAAATTTAGTTCTGCCAAAAAAAATTACCAGTGAAATATGGACAAAACATGTGACATCTCTGAATAATGCTTGGTTAGTATATGAAGGAAGTAGATTCCTCCAAATGATCTCCAGTTATCTTCTCACCTTAATACTGAGACTTTGTGATGGTGAGATATGCACTAACATCCACTTGATTATTATTTATTATTTTCCTATGAAAAATGATGGTCCTTAATCATAGTAAAAAGTTTTCCTTTCCAAATATTTTTATGTAGCACATATTCTTCAAATAAAGAAAAGTCATGAGAAGAAATATATATATATATATATATAATACCATATAAACCATGAATAACACCATACACATGTAAGGCAACAGATCTGCCCTAGCTGAAGCTTAGGAAAGGCAATGCAGACTCACACTGGTCTCATCAATCTAAGCTCTCCTTTATTACTAAATCAGGCTTCCCAAACATTGTCAGAAAAACCACTATTAACAGACTAGTAAGAGGTATATCCTTTAGTAAGATACCAACACCCATGCTTCTTTCTCCCAGGTACATCTTACTACCTGTTTTGTAATATGGCACCTTCTTGACCATAGCTACACCATGTTAAAGTTTAGGATGACTCTAGTCTCTGAAATTATCAGGCAGTTGACCCAGGGTATGGGAACACATGTCAGCAGGACCCCAGTTGTCTTGGGAACAGGTCAGCATGTTCCGGAGTGTACCTGCTAACTGCAGATTTATGACTTCTGTAGATAATGCTTGGCTTGCTTCTGCAAAATAGTAATTGTTGATTAATAGAATAGAAATTGTTAAGAAGGGGGCTTTGCACCTGTAAGCTTGGGAACTTAAACTTTTCACACCTGGTTATGGTTTCTCTGTATAAAAGCTTACCCTAGAGATGGATCAGGGTTACATACTTGAGTTCTGACACCCTTGTGTACTTGCTGGCCAGCAAAGACTTTCATTCAGCAAAACTTTGTCTGAGTGGTCTCTGGTGATGCACCTCACAACAGTCTAATACCGTGCCCAACCTGGAGCATGTTTCTGACATACGCTATCAATGTTTGTTGGGTGAAGGTAACTTGATTTAGCTTTACTACCACCAATAATGGAAAAAAAAATTCTATTCTTAGAAAACTTACATTTCAATTACATACATTTTTGACCCATTTTAAATTTAATACACTATCACGGATATCCATTCAAAGTGTGATGCTTGACCCCTTGATCTGTGCCTGTGAAAAAAGTTGATTCTTAGGATATATACCAGATCTACTGAATCAGAATTTGTTCCACAGGAACCCCTGTTAATTCTTAAGTTTACTTTAATTGGGAAGTCAGCATATTTGAAGGTTTTAGATGGAGGAGGAGGAGGAGGAGGTAGAAGAAGAGGAAGAGGAGGAGGTGGGAGAGAAGAAAAAGAA